TCTAGAGCGCTTGGACCCACCATGGCCTCCTCCATCGGACTTGCCGCGTCCTTCTCCACCAAAGCGGCAAGCTCCGCGCCACCAACGAGCTCTACACCGGTGAAATCCACGCGCCGATGAGCCTCCATTCACAAACAACAAGGAGATATTACGCTGAAAGCGCGTGTTGCAAAGATATGTTTCAAGTGTTTCAGATGTTCCAGAGGTATGTTGCAGGTGTTTTATATTGGTGTTGCAAAAATGGATCGAGATGTTGGCTATACACATATGTTTCAAGTGTATGTTTCGATTGTTTCATCTATCTCGGATGTATGTTGTAAGTGTTTCATCTGGATGTTGCAAAAGTAGATCTAGATGTTGCATATATATGCATGGTCGCAAGCGTATGTTTTTAAGTGTTTCAAGTTGCTTCAAACGTATGTTTCAAGTGTTTCATCTGGATGTTGTAAAAGTAGATCTGGATGTTGCATATATATGCATGGTCGCAAGCGTATGTTTTTAAGTGTTTCAAGTTGCTTCAAACGTATGTTTCAAGTGTTTCATCTGGATGTTGCATATATTTTGCAATGGTACACACGTGTTTTTCTGGTATTTTAGATATATATTGCAAGTGTTTCAGTTGTTTCAGACGTATGTTGCAAGTGCTTTATCTGGATGTTGCAAAAGTATATATCTGGTGTTGCACATGTTGCAATGGGACCCACCAGCTGTCGTGCATGCGCATGGGAAGTGGAGGGATGGAACCCAGCGCAGCGGCAAGCGTAGGAAGCGGAGGGGGATGGCGGCAGGGGCACAGGCGGTTCCCATTTGTGCGTGCAACAGGGCGCGGTCTCTGGCTGTTACGGGTGGAACAACTTTACATGTTGGGTGGGAGTTACGGATGGAACCAGATAATTTTACAGGGCTGAGTGGGTGCTGCGTCCGAGACATTTCTTGGGGCCGGACGTCCGAGCGCTAGCGTCTCCCTATTCAAATAGCATGTCATCGTAAACAAATATTTGTGAAGTTCAATATAATGGGTTTGTGAGCACTAAAAGTCTTGTTAGATGAGATGAGAGTGTGAAAGAAAGATCCGCTTGGTGCCCATTCAGCCTAGGCAATCGGTTTAAACCAACAAATCGGTTCGGTTTCTTCAGTTTCCATAAACGTCGGTTTCTAAATATCAACAACCGATCGGTTCCTTGAAAAAACAGAAACTGACCAATTCGGGTTTTCGGTTTCCACCGAACAAACCGAAGCCTACGTTAGCACGGAGAGAAACAAGGAGATTTTGCTTCAGATCCAAGTGCCCAGAATCTCAGATTAGAAACGGAGGAAGAAAAGAATCCATCTGACATATGCTTAGGCCCCGTTTGGCACGGTTTCACTTCACTAGTGAAGCCATTTTTTTTTTCAGCTCTCCACGAACAGTTCCACCGGTGGAGCTGAAGCGGTTTTTGTAAACCATTTGGCAAAATGGCTTCCCTATGAGAGCATGTTTTTAGGGGCCTGGAGGAGGAGCCGGGAGAAGCCACTTTTTTTGGCTCCATCCCACCCCAAATCATTGTGAGAGCATGTTTTTAGGGGCTTCACCAGTGAAGCTATTTCACTTTACCTCGTTTGGCAGAAAACGGCTCCAAACGGCTCCTAAAGCTGGTGGAGAAGCCCTGCCAAACGGGGCCTTAGATGCCGCACGGTGCATGACTGCATGCCTCGTCCAATTGAATCGCCGGCTCGTTGGTTGGACATGCCGCCGCCCCGCCACCATCAGCCCTCCGTGATGCGCCGATGCGACTGGCAGCCGCCGCCGCGCCGCTCACGCGCCCCGAAGCTCGTAGCGCCACCGCGCCGATCGCCGGCTCGCCCTCTCCGACGCTTCGCTACTCCGCGCCTCTGCCCAGACTAAGCAGTAAGCACAACACCGCCAGGGTAGAGGATATGGTTTTTTTATTGCCTCAACCTTTGATTACACGCTGTAGTGTCTGAACTCATGCTCTAACACACACCACACACAACACACTCACACCCTAGAGGGCAAGCTAGATCTACAACCTATATCTAGGTCTAAGGATACACTGCTGAGAGATATGATAGTGATGGCACATCCGTGCGCGGCAACTGAGAATATTGGAGAAAACCTCCAGGCAAGGGACGAGGCCGAGTGGCTTGTCTGATTGTCTCTCGCCCCTGGGTGCCTCGCGTGGGGGTAGGAAGGGGGCGGAACGGATTGGGTCGGGAGGGGGTGGAAACGTGAGGAGTGGCCGACTGGACCTGTTAACTGATGGGCCGAGATGCTTTGGCGAGAGGTGCGTTGAGGCACCGTCGCTGATACGTGGAGTGTTCGGTTTGCTCGGTTCTTCGGTTCCTGTTACGTACAAACTGAACACCGAGCCGATAACCGTAGTTTCCAGATCCAAAAACCGAAACCGAACCGAAAAACCGAAATGGTCGGACTTTATCTCCTTGTATTATTGGTGGTTTGGTGAAGGCCAGTGCTCGATCTTGTGTAGGGATCCATACATGCACGTGTAACGTGTTGGCCTGAATAACAACATCAGTTCATGCAGCCATGATGGAAAAGCTTGCCTGCCTGGCAGAAATGCAATAATGTACTACTCCGTACATTTGTTCCTTGCATCTTTGGCTTGATCCATGTCTCTCCGATAGAGACAGACATGGCACAATGGCTGGAGCTTTGGCTATTCTGTCAAGGCTTGTTTGTTCCATACGGAGATGGTGGCGCTCGACGTCGACGGCGCCGGCGCTGGGGCTGGGTCGTGGAAGCGCTGAAAAGTCGATCGGTGCCCCCGGTCCGTTGCATGCAGTGCGGTCCGGTCGCCTTGAGATGCAAGGCTATACCTGTTGCTGCATGCGTATGCACTGATGTGTGCACGCAGTGCGGTCACCTCCCAGGAAAGCGGTAAGGAAGCCACTGACTTTCTGTGCGAGCGGATGACAGGTGGTCCCGACAGGATTCTTAGTCGCGGTTGACTCGACTCGCAGCCTCGTGCCGGGACCGCAACGTAGTACAGCCGCAGGTCCTTCTCGTGCACAAACAAAAATTATAGTATAGGGCCTTGTTTAGATCATCTCTAAATTCTAAGTTTTTTCACTCTCTCTTTATCACATTAATTTTTGGACGCATGTATAGAGTATTAAATGTAGGTAAAAAAAATAACTAATTACACAGTTTAGTTGTAAATCACGAGACGGATCTTTTGAGCCCAGTTAGTCCATGATCGGATAAAGTTTGTCTAATACAAACGAAACATGCTACAGTATTCAGATTGTAAAAATTTGCAATCTAAACAAGGCCTAGGGACGCCGGACAGGCGGACAGCGACGTGCTGGCGTGTGTTTCGTCAGCGCTCACACCGTTACTTCCTCTTTTGGATTTAAGCTGAATATCCCCCTCGTAGCCCTACGAGTGTGCTATTTTGCAGAAAGCATACCGTTTTACTAAGTCAGTTTCTAAAAATCGATGGTTTAGAAGCTACTACAATGCGGCACAGCATTTATAGAGATGGATTGCTATATAAACCATTCCTGGAAAATTATAGGCAGCTGTAAAATAAAATCATATGTCTAGTAGTATAAGTTTCCTGGCTACTAGAAATAACGACAGTTTAGGATGCTTTCTCCGCGTACATTTCATCAACATTTTTTATGTTTTTTTACATATATCTAAGCTATAGGACCCTTTAATAGCAAAGAAACAAGTTATATTAATTGGTCTCTTACTAAACAAAGAACGATAATGCTATGTTCAGGGCGTCCGTCTGTCTGAACATCGTGTTTCTTGGACTGCGCAGCGGTCTGGTCCAACAGGCAACCAGTCTGCTCCCCTCTACGCTCTCTCCCATCTCTCTGCAACTGTATCCAAAAAAAAGATAGCACCTGCGACACAAATTTCCTATCACCTCGCTCGTTGCGGCTTCACCGCGCCGTCCGCCTGCCCCTACTCTGCCTCGCTGACGCTGCCATCCCCCACCGCGCCCTTATATCATGCCGCGTTCGCTGCCGCGCCGGGCCGCGTCCGTCGCCGCTCCCCCATCCACCGCCGTACTCCACCGCGCTTCACCCGTCACGGCCATAGCGTGCACCGTGTCACCACCACCCGGTGCCACCAGGAAAAGGTTGTCGCTGGTCGGGACATCGTCTCCCGCGGTCGGCCGAAGACACCACGCGGCAGGAAGCCGCACCACCACCGACCCAAGCTTGTCGCTGCTATTGCAGTTCCCCACAAGGAAGTTGTGGCCGCTGTGACGCGCGACTTTAGTAAGGAGATGTTGTACTAAAAGCACATGTTGCAAACGCAAGTTTCAAGTGTTTCAATTATTTCAGATGTATGTTGCAAGTATTTCATATGGATGTTGCAAAAGTAGATCTGGATGTTGCATATGTTGCAATGACTATATACGTCTGTTCAAAATGTTTCATATGTTTTTAGATATATGTTGTAAGTGTTTATCTGAATATTAAATATGTTGCACACATATGTTGTAAGTGTATGTTCCTAATATTTCAGCTGTTTTCATATGCATATTGCATCAAATATTTCGGTTTCGTATTTCAAGCGTATACTCTTTAATGGGACGGCTGGAGCCATGCGGCGCGCATCGGCAGGCACGGTGCATGGATTCCCGCGCGTGCGCTCATGAAACGGAGGGGCGCGGGTGGTCCCCGCATGTGGGCGGGTGGGGCGAGTGGTCTAAGCGGCGCGGGCGGTCCCTGCATGCGTGCGGAAACGGAGCGTGCGAATCCAAACGGGCGGGGCGCGCTGTACCGGATCAGAGCAAGCGTGGGCGGACACGGTCGTCCGTGGGCTATTCACCAAACAGAGCATGTTCACCTGCGCAATTGAACAAGAAGCCAAGGGTTCAAATGGAAAAGCTTGTCTCGCACTTTCCCCACCTCTCCATTTAGCTCTGTCTATATATATGCGCCACACATCCCGTGTAAGTTCCACGTCCAAATTCCAAAGAGTGTAGTAACAAAATTTGTCTGACTTCTTAGACTCCATGGGATTGAAGCTTTCTTGCATCCACCACGGCAGCCTCTCGCGGCAGGTGGACCTGCCGGCCTCGCCGGCACCGGCCAGGGTCATCGCAGCAGACGGATCGCTGAAGGAACTCCCGGCCTCCTCTCCCTCTATCGTCTCGGACGTGCTCGGCCAGAGCGGCGGCGCAGCGTCGTCGTCGTCGTCGTCGTTCTTCGTGTGCAACTCCGACGCGCTATACTTCAACGAGCGCCCGCCGGCGCTGTGCCCCGGCGAGGTGCTCCGGCCGGGGCAGACATACTTCGTGCTCCCGGCGGCCATGCTCGACAAGCCGCTGTCGACCGCCGACATGGCCGCGCTGGCCGTGCGGGCGACCACGGCGCTCGCATCCAGCAGCAACAGCAAGCCGAGGCGTCACGGGCGGCGCCGTGGCCATGGTGGCGGCAAGAAGAAGGCAGTTCGCGTCATGCCCGTGCACGAGGAAATGGACGACGGCGGCGAGGACGTCTTCTTCAACGAGAAGCTAAACCAACAGACGCTTGGGGAGTTCGGGATGTTGCTGAACCCAGCGAAGAAGGACGAGAAGCTTGCAGCCGCCGCGGCGACGTCGAGGCTCAAGCGGGCGCTGAGCATCATTCAGGAAGACGCCGAGTGAAGCAAGAGTAGGCTGTGGTCGATCTCAAATTCTTTTGTTCTTTCCAGAAACTTAATTTGGTTATAGAAAATGTCTACAAATGTAGAAAATATAGGGTAGAAAATGTCTACAAATGTATGACATTCCAGCCTTGTAAGTAATCTGATTCGTTGATTTTTTTTTGTTTCGGTGTACAATTCCCCATTTTCTGTCTTGTAGTTTTTTCTACGACTGTGCAACAATGAAGAATTTTTACGGTCAAAAATGAAGTTTGAATGATTCAAACTTTGTGTGGGCATGTGGGCCAAGGACTGATGGACTGACCTACTGACCAATGACAAAGAGAGTTCTCTGACAAACAAAGAACAGAAAAGAACAGTTACTGCAAATGACATTATCCACATATAATCGTTTCCACCCGAGGTATATGGTTTTGATATTAAGGTAGAAGGCCTCAGTTTTGCATGCCGAGAAAACTCTTGATCCTGCCTTTGCCGCGGAGGTGATTTTTTTAACAAGCCTGAATTCACTCCCACGGGCTTTTTCACATAGTCGTTTATTTTGCATAATCGTTTATTGTGACATTCATGCCACAAAACTCCGATTTTTTATGTCCCTCTTTCTCTGTATACCTAGTCGTATGTTTCAATTCTAGAATTCTTTTTTACACTACCAGAAAATGGAAATTTCGTGAGAGGAAAGTATTTTCATGAGTGTTGAAAATGAACCCTCATGAAATTAATGCTTTTCATGAGGGTGAGTTAAATCCATACGAAAACTGATTTTTCGTGAGAGTGGTTCGTGCACCGCTGGAAAATACAATTTTCGTGATGCTAAACTCTCATGAAAATTGTTATGCGAGGCACGAACTCTTGTTTTTTGTGAAATAAAATCATTTGGCGCCAACGACCCACGCTTTCGTTGGGTATTCGCGCCACAGGAAAAAATAGCCCGCGCATAACTTTTCGGCCCAATATACACAACAGCCCGAGCCTCACAGTCCAACCGCACCCCAAACCCTATCCTCCGATCGGTGGCGTGCCTTATCCTCTCCACCCGTGAGAAAAAAAGAGCCGACCCGTCCTCATGCTGTGGCGCCTCGCCGCCGCCCCAGGTCTAACCAGAGCCACGCTGCCCTCTCCGCCGCCGCCGTCGCCCTTTGGCGAGAGCCAGCCCTCCTCTCCGGCCGCCGCCGCGAGCCCGGCAGATCTCCTTCGTTTTACCGCTGCCTACGTCTGATCCCGGCCCTGGGCAGCACGCGCGAGGAAAGCGCGAACGTCCCAGGCCTAGGGAGCCGATGGGCCTCTCCCGAGGTAAGCATACACCAGTAGTAGTATTCTATCAACCCAGCTAACATACGTATACTAGGCTGCTGCATGCCGCATGCACCAGCAGTCTCTTCTCTTCCACTAGAGTTGCAGATCCTCTTTCCTCTGCATACATACGTAGACTGCAACTTGATTAGTCAAATATTCAATCTGCTAGGCACTAGGCTCCCTATTGGTCTATATTCCCTAATGGTTTGGATTCCTCACTACCAGCTTAACTTGCGAAACTTTCAATTTATTCAAACTTTGCCTATTAGAGACAAAGTGTCTCATCATTTTGAAGAGACAAAGTTGATTGTTGTTTGATATGCTTGTTGGTCGTGGCAGAGTATCACAATCGTTCATTTGGTTTGCTAGGTTAGGGGTGATGCCCGGATCTTCTCAATGAGATTAATTAATTTAGGTTCATGATGTGGGCACTCTATTTGCTGGAATGAAATGGGAAATTAAATGAGAAACAATTGATTGAAGAGGGCAACCAATGCAGAACGCTTGGCTTTATAAGATAATCTTTTGGTGAACTTTTTCATGCCACTCATGCTTCTTTCATGCCGATGGTGGTTCATTCAATAGAACACTACTGTTTGAATGAGTTTGCTCTACTAGAAGAGTTTAACTAAGAACATCCGGCCACATGGTCATTGTTTTCTTTTAATTTAAACATTATGTTACCTTTAAGACGAGCTGGTCAAGGTGAAGGCATGCTTGTTTTAAAAACAAATGCAGTAGCTTTTACCTTTTGCCATTTTGATACACATATCATAGCCATCAAGCAGTTCAATGGTCACGATCTTTTCCCCAAGAATACAAAGTCTACTGTAATGAATCTACCATAATTGTTGATTCATTGAAACACCGGCGAAATTCCTGTCTTGTGGTATACTTGTGTACTTTAGAATTTTCAGCTGAAAATGAGTAATTCACATACTTCATAAATTCTTGGAAATGGAGTATTCGTTGTTGTATTCAGCTAGCATCTTTTCCATGCTTATTTTGCTTCTTCCGAGAAATACTATATTTCTCAGAAAATTTGATGTGCTAGTTAACATCTGCAGACGGTCATAACTCGTCTATATATTTTTGTTCTAGGTCCAAAAACCCTCGGGACCGCCCCTGCTGATCCAAGACCGAAGCTCTGCAACCTCTCAGGCCATTTGGTGCCTGGATCCAGCCCACACCGACGCCTTTCATCATCGAGCCCTCCGACACCTGCATTCAAAGACGTGCGTCCCTCGAGGCCACCTCTACTCTTTTCCTCCGTCAAAGCTCGAGGAAGAGAAGGCAGCAATGACACCGAGCTAGGCTCAGAGGAGAACGCAGGCGGTGGCCAAACCGAGCTTGGAGGAGATAGGGTCCTACCTTGTGTGGATCTCGCTTCCTACTTCCAATCGGAGTGAGTTAATAAAGCTTCATCTTTCTCCTGAAATTTTACATGCAGTGCTTAACCCATATGAGGATGCTTGATGCATCTCACATGGTAGTTTGCTTAGTTTTTTTTACAGTGTACTTAATTGGGATTATATAAACTATGTTGTGTCTCTAACAATTTTGCAAGATCTGGTAGATCGGAACTAAAGTGCGACATTTGCCTTACACCTGAACTTAATGGAGCTATGAATTTTGCATTGATCCATATATCTTTGAGAAATTACCTCTTCGCTGTTGGTATAATAGAATATAATGCCATGATTTTCGATGGTATGGTGAATCAGTAGAAAAATAATGTTGTTTGTGGTTGATTGCTCATTGCTTGTATATATGCAAACATCATAATATGATTGTATTGTATCTCTTGGTAAACTCTGTAGAAAATAGTTTTTTGTTTGTTTGATAGCCATGTGAATTTTTCCGTGTCTAAATTCTGAATTTTTTAATGAAAACAGAAGAAAAGAATGGAAGAATGTGACCGGATGTACACTTGGTTGGTCTCGTACACAGCCCTCTCAAATGATTGGATAGATAACACCAACCAGTTTTTGGATCGTGCCTTCTCTATTCCTAATCTAGTTGAAGATGGCACCATTAAGTGTCCTTGCATGGTATGTCGCAATTGTGTTAGGCACACCAAGTTAACGGTAGAGATGCACTTGTGTAGGGTTGGCTTTAAGGAAGACTACAGAGTATGGACATCACATGGTGAGGGACCTGCAAATACCTATGTTGAAGGTGGACATGGTGAGAATTTTGTTGAAACTGACCACATGGATGAAATGTTAGCTACCCTAGTTGGTGACCATCCACCACCAATTGATGAGCAGCCTGCCTATGCTCAAGATTTCTATAGGATGGTAGAAAATGTTGACCAATTAGTACATGATCATACATCACACTCATCTCTATCTGGTATGGCACGTCTGCTAGCAATGAAAGCACAATATAACATGTCAATTGCACACTTTGAGGCAAACTTAGAATTAATCCATGAACTTTTGCCTCCAGAATCTAAGTTGCCAAATGACTTCTATCAGTCAAAGAAGCTATTTGAGGGTCTTGGTATGGCATATGTCAAAATTGATGTTTGTTATAATAATTGCATGCTTTACTATAAAGATAATATAAACAAAGACAAATGTGATGTTTGTGGGTTGTCTCGCTATGAAGGTAATAGTCGAGTGCCACGTAAAGTGTTGCGGTACCTTCCCATCACCGATAGGTTGCAGAGGTTATATTTGCATAAGAACACGGCAAAGCTATTGAGGTCTCACAAGCCATGCACTTCTGGCAAAATGGTGCACCCTTGTGATGGAGAAGCATGGCAAAAGTTTGACAAAGACTTTCCAGACTTTGCTAGTGACCCTAGAAATGTGCGCCTTGCTTTTGCAACAGATGGTTTTACCCCTTTTGGTTTCATGGCAGCGCCTTACTCCTGTTGGCCGGTGTTTGTTACCCCATTGAATTTTCCACCATGCACAATCATGAAATCAGAGTACATATTTCTTTCCCTAGTAATCCTAGGTCCTGAACATCCTGGAAAGAAACTAGGCATTCTAATGCAGCCTTTAATTGATGAATTAACGAGTTTGTGGGAAGGGGTGGATACTTGGGATGCTTCACTCAAGAAAACTTTTAAAATGCGAGCAGCTTATCTATGGTCAGTACATCATTTCTCTGCTTATGGCAACTTTGCTGGATGGAGCACACATGGTAGGCTTGCATGTCCAGTGTGCTTAAGTGATAGTAAGGCATTTACACTTCGTCATGGTCACAAGGCTTGCTGGTTTGATTGCCATAGACGGTTCCTACCTATAGACCATGAATTCAAATTCCAAAATAATGCATTTCGTAAGGACACAGTGGTTCTTGATGAGGCTCCAAGGCTTTTAACAGGGGAGGAAATATTTGCCCAAATGAGTAAATTCGTATATGACAATAAAAACTATGGTACATGGCACAATTGGACCCATGTTTCTGGCCTTTGGCAACTTCCATATTTTCAAAAATTGTTGCTACCCCACAACATTGATGTGATGCACAATGAGAGAAATGTAGCTGAAGCTATTTGGTATACTTGCTTCGATGTACCGGACAAGACTAAGGATAATGCCAAGGCAAGGAAAGATTTAGCTGATATTTGCAATCGTCCATCACAACATTTGAAGATGAAGGCAAATGGGAAGTGGGACAGGCCACGAGCCCCATTTTGCATTAGTAAGGATGACAAGCCAAAAATTCTTAAATGGTTTTAAGAACTTA